ATTAATCGCGATTAATCGCAGTTTTAATTGGGAAGGTAAACAGAGCAATGGTCTCAAGTTGCGGTGGGGGAAGTCCAGGTTGGATATCAGGAAAAACTATTTCACTAGGAGGGTGGTGAAACACTGGAATGCGTTGCCTAGGGAGGTGGTGGAGTCTCCTTCCTTGGAGGTTTTTAAGGCCCGGCTTGACAAAGCCCTGGCTGGGATGATTTAGCTGGGAATTGGTCCTGCTTTGAGCAGGGGGTTGGACTAGATGACCTCTTGAGGTCCCTTCCAACTCTGATATTCTATGATTCTATGATTCTATGATAAAGTCTTTGTCCTCAGCTGAATCCATGTGTTCGAGAACTTCAACCCCAAACTGCTCAACTTGGTTTTCCTGAGAATGAGGCCAGAGAACCATAGGCAAAACTCTCCATTGCTGCTCCAACTGTCCAAAGCCTCCACAAACCAATACCATAATCTAGGTTATGTCAAGGTGAGCGCAGTAGAAGGACTTAGTACTGCAAGCAATTCAATCACCTCAACATTTGGTGGAAATCTCTGTTTCATCTCTTTCAAAAATGTCAACATGGAATCTCAATGTCTACTTTTGACATCTTTGACAATGTGAAGAGTTAGAGTCGGTTGTGAAAGTTCTTACTGAAAAGCAACTGTGCAAAGTGGTCAATAATTTAACTCAACGGTTATTGTTATAGTTTAATACAGCAGTTCCGTTCTCAAAATACGAGGTTTCACAATTCTCACCAACAAGCTCTAGAATAATGTCCTCAATTCCTGCAGGAGATTTCCTGTATTATCATTTTCCAACCGTAACATTTGGTTTATCCTACAGGCTTCCTGAATTACTGGATATAGCAAAAGTAGGTAAATTTTACTCACTGGATCACTGCACATATGAAAAAGAAGTTCAGGATTGTAGTTTCTTTCTTTTTTTTTGGCATAGCTTTTGTTCGTCAAACTGATCAAGAACCCTGTTCACACAGGGACTAATGCAAAGCCACCTTGCTTCAGAAAGCTGCAGTATCTTGTGGTAGTCTGGAAGTCATGACAAGGCTGAGTGACAGGCTGTGTGGGGTTGGGGACTGATTGGTGACGCCGAAAGAAATCACATGATGGTTAGAGAGAGGAAGCTACACAACCGAGAGAGCAGTGCTTGGTGATGGAGTGATAAAACATTTGGTGTGAGCAACTTTTCAGACTGTGAACTTGTGCAATGTTGAGCTCAGCCAAAGTGGGATAGAGTACTCTTGATTAATGAGGAGATATCCTTTCTCCCTTTGTCACAGAGGATTAATGTCAGTGATCCAGGCGATCATCTTCTGCAGATGTATTTGACCACTTTGTCACGAAGCTCTTTGGTTTTGACCCCATAAATGATTGGGTTGATCACGGGTGGGATGAGGAAGAAAAAGTTTGCCAAGATGATGTGAACATGAGGAGTGATGCGCTGACCGAACCTGTGTGTCAGAGTGGAGAAAAAGAATAGAGTAAAAGACGTCATCATCACACAGATGTGGGCTGTGCAGGTGTTGAGGGCTTTCTGGTAGGCTTTCTTGGAGGAGATTCTGAGGACGGCCCTGATGATCAGACTGTAGGACAGGGCAACCAGTGTCAGATCTAACCCAATGACTACAAATGCCATCACCAAGCCGTACGTCCTGTTCACAGTGGTGTCCCCACATGACATCTTCGCCACAGCCATGTGCTCGCAGTAAGTGTGGGGGATAATGTGGTTGGCACAGAATGGCTGCCTAATGAGAAGCAGGGGTAGGGGCAGCATGAGGAGAACAGCTCTTATCAAACCCACAAGCGCTAGCTTAGCTATCCGTGCATTGGTGAGGATGGTGGCATATCTCAGAGGGTTGCATATGGCAACATAGCGATCGAAGGCCATTGTCACGAGGACAGCTGACTCCATAATAGAAATCCCATGAAGAAAGAACATCTGTGTGAGGCAGCCACCCACAGTAATGCCCTTCAAATTGAACCAAAATATACAGAGTGCCTTTGGCACAACGGAGGTAGATGTGCCGATGTCTGTGAGCGCCAGCATGCAGATCAGCAGGTACATTGGCTTGTGTAGGGTTTGATCTTTGCCTACAACAAACAGAAGCATGAAATTTCCAAACAGGCCAACAATGTAGAATATAGAGAAAGGGATGGAAATCCAGACATGGGCAGCTTCTAGGCCAGGGATGCCAATTAGGATAAATGGTGATGGGTCAGAGGTGGTCAGGTTGAAAGCTTCCATGAGGTGGTCAATGCGTCAATCGGATTCAGAAATGCTCAGAGTGCCTGTGAAGGGAGAAAAGCACAGGTAGGGGGTTAAACACTTTATAATAAATATTTGATAGTTATTAACAATCTAGAACGGGGGGGATGAGCAGTGAGGTGGCAACATTTGCAGATGGCACCAAATTATTTAGGTCATCGTCAAGTCCCGAGAAGTCCTCAGAGGGAGCTAACCCATCCACATGAATGGCACATGACCTTCAATGTCAATAACTGCAACATGTATGCCCATTGGAGGAAAGAGCTTGAACTCCTCAAACACCTAACATGGTTGTAAATTAACTGTCTGAGCTTAGGACAGGGACCTGGGTGTCATGGTACAGAGCCCTATGAAACCCTGCTCTCAGAGCAAGCAGGGACAGAAACTAAGCAAAACATTGGGATCCAGGAGGAGGGGGACGGGAAATCACACAGAAAATACAATGCCATGAGATCAGTCAGTCAATGTTTCACCCTCCTCTGGACTCCTCTGTGTAGTACTGGGCACCCTTCCCACACAGGATATTGGAGAACTAGAGGGGTTCAGGGAAGGGCAATGAGAATGATCAAAGAAAGAGGTTGAAAAGATTGGGATCGCTACCTTACAAAGAGATGAATAAGAGGAGATATGAGAAAAGTCTGTAGAATACTGACTGGAAGGAGAAAGGGAGAACACATACTCAATCTACTCTCTAAGACAAGATCAAGAGGACATTCAATTACACTGAAACATGGCAAATTCAAAACAGATAAAAAAGAATGCTATATTCACTTGATGCCTAATTAAACTGAGGATCTTGTTGCCACAAAAGGAAGTTGAGGCCAGGTGCTAAGGAAGAATCAGGAAGGGTTTGGACATATACCTGGATAGTGTCACTATCCAGTTAGAATAGTTACAGCTAAATGAACATTTTGGAAAGCCTATAAGAAGTTTGCAGATGATGCAACAATTGGGGGTTGATAAATAATGAAGAGGTCAGGTCACTGATTCAGAGCAATCTGGATTGATTGGAAAACTTGGTCGAAGCAACCAACATGTGTTCTAATATAGCCATGTACATATCTGCAAAGAGTACAGGCAATACTCACACAATGGGGGGATATCATGGGAAGCACAATGACTCTGAACTTGATTTGGGGGCATGAATGGTTAATTAGCTAAACATGAGCTCCCGGTGTGACCCTGTGGCCTGTTAGGAAGGAATTAAAATTAAGCCAGCAGAAAAGACAGAAACTGCTGAGAAGCAAGGACATAGTTTCAGTCAATACACGATAACTTCGTTCAGCTTATCGGTAAGAAGGAACAAAGCTTGTGCCCATGAAAAGGGACAGTTCAGCGAGGAAAGCAGGATCGGGACCAGACAAGCAAGCAGGAATATTTCAGTACCACAAATAGCATTGACAATTGTAAACAATTGATAAGCGTATATGGTCAATATCCACTGAGTAACTTAGTTCTTAGAACAGAATAAACCCTCCCTTCATAGCCCACTGGATATCTGTAAGCACTCATCCCTACACCCACACCCACCCCGCCTCCTTCCCCCGCAAGGTAGTCATAGATGTTTGATGCAATTAGGATGACCTCTATATGTACCTTTTGTTCTTATTTTTATCTTTGTTCAGGGTTCTCTTTTGGCTTGTAACAATGTCTGTCTCTGTATGTACAGATAAATGCAAATGAATTGATAAGAGAATGTATATAACTGGCCACTATAGCATCATGTCTTTTAACCTGCTTCTCAGTCTTCCCGGTAACGTAAATGGACCCCCTTCAGTGTTGTCTGTGCTTGCCTGATTCTTGGGGAAAAGAGTCTTTTTGCCTAACAGGCCAAAAGAGCCGGAGATCATAACCGGGGAAATCTGAAGGAGAGGTAGAGATGTTATTTTACCTGTATATTTGGCACTGGTGCAACTGCTGCTGGAATCCTCTGTCCAGTACTTGTGCCCATGGTTAAAGATGGATGTTGATACACTGAAGAGGGTTCAGAGAAGAATCACAAGATTTAGTAACAGAGCAGAAAACCTGCCCTATAGTGATAGACTCAAAGATCTCAATCGGTGTAGTTTAACAAAGAAGGGTAAGGGGTGACTTGATTACAGTCTGTAAGTACCTACACAGGGAACCAATAGTTAATAATAGACTTTTCAGGCTAGCACACAGGGATGTAACAGAATCCAATGGCTGGAAGTTGAAGTTATAGAAATTCTGTCTGGAAATAAGTTTGAGATTCCAGTATCTCTCCTGTCAGTTCATTTTGATTCAAATGAGCTTATCCGTTCTTAGAGGCCACAGGACGACTCCCGTTGAAGTCACTGTAGGCTAATGACCGGTGTAAATAGGGCTATTTATTTAAGTCCCTACATGTGGATTTAGGGTGAACTCCTGGCTGTTTTCAGCGCTTTGCCACTGATCTCAATGTGACAAGATTCACCCTGAGTTTTTAACTTTTGGCTATAAGCTGCAAAAATCAAGCGTTTGGGTCCTGCTACAGTGAGCCTGCTTCTGTAAGGGTGCTGAAAGTGTATGGAGGGAACCCCCAATTTATGTGGAATTCTGAGACTGGGCACGAAAGATGGGGATTCCAAAACATATGGACCCTAATTTGGCTCTCAGGAATGCCAGCTTCAATCTGGAGTGACCGGTGAAGGTTAAATGAGAGAGCAGAATCTGGCCAGTGTGCGACTCATTCTTTTTGTGAACTCGCTGGTAACACAGATACCCACTGCAAAGGCATTGGCTGCACTTCCTAATAGGGCAGTGAAGTCACTGAATTGGAAAAATTGAGAGAACCAGAGGAAAAACCACACTGTCCAAAAAAAGGAAGCTATTTAGATAGCTAGAAGGACACAGTAAGAGACAAGGAACTGATCTTAAAAACAAATATTTGGCTAAACTATCTCCAATACATATGTACTTTCAATTTTACCAGGTAAATCCCTTAGTGTTTCTGATATTACTAAACAAAAAGTGGTGGTGAATTCCTGCCCAGATGGTTCTTCACGTACACCCCGGAACCCTTCCTGAGCCCTCAGCAATAACTTCAGTGCAGGAACAGGCAACTCACCAAAAACCTGCTCAGCAGAGAGAGAAAAAATCTCCTTTCAGCGACAGGAAGGAAGAGCCCTAAGAATCGCGGTCTGAATCTCACATGTCTGACACTTGCCATGTTGGGCAGTGATTTTTATGATTCCCCTGTATAGTCCCTGTAGACTCTCAGATTGGCCAGGACTCCCAGACAATTCCCTCGACTCCAGCCCTGGTTTGAGCAGAAAATAGACCCTGGAGAACTACAGCTTGAGAGCCTCCCCTGGGAGTGAAGAAATAATTTGCTGATACCAGGGGCTCAGAATTGTCAGGGTAAACTGTCTTGCAGACTATTGTTCAGCCTAGCAATTGATGAAGGGTTCCCCCCCCATGTATAATGTACAGCCATCTATGTTTGGGAATACTGCCATAGCTGCATACTGCCTATGCAGTTGTAATGTACAGCGCATTAACCTCTACAAAGTCAGTGCCACTCTATGAAGGCCAAATGAAGTGATCCTTAATTGATTAACGCCGTAGGGCATGGAAAACGCTGTCTTCTCCCAGGATTCTGGTTTCAAAGCTATTTGCCAGTATCCCTTTGTGAGCTCTAAAGCAGATATACATCAGGAAGCTCAAACCCTTCTAATATTTCATCTCCTCTCTGCATCGGGAAAGCATCACATTTCAATATTGTGTTGATCTTTCAGCTATTGATGCAGAAAAGCAGTTGTGCTCTCCTGTGTTAGAATTCTACTCTCACTGTGGTGTTTTACATTGTGATGCCCTGCTGAGGTGAGAACACAGTGGTAAAGGAATCAAACAATTGCTAAATCTGGTTCTTTTGTACTGGATACAGTCCCTGCCCCATGCTTGCATTACAGGTTCCTGGGGGCCTACTTTTGGATCCTGAAGGTATGAGTGTGATGGGTTATCGGCTCATGGGTTGAATCTGGGAGGCGTGGAAACTCCTGTGCCCTCTAACCACCCACCTGAGCTGGCTCTTTCCCACAGTGCTTTGCTAGTGATTCAGCCCCTCCAGACCCTGTTATCACCCAACACGACACCAGATGGCGCCACACACCCAAACTGAGGTATCCGAGGTCTGTCTTAATCCACCAAATTTGAAACAGCAGCCACTGGGTGTTAGAGGGTTTTCCTTTCACCCTCTCCCTTTCTCTGACTGAATCTACCAAGATAAACACAAGTCGCCGTGACTGCGGATGTGCATGGCTCTAATAATCAAGTGTGTGGCACTTGATGGACTGTTGTGCAGGTGCGCAGCTTAAAGGGAACATTGACCCCATCCTGGTGGCCATGGTCTCGTTTAGCATCCCTTGGTGATACGGTTTATGCCCGTGTGTTTGATTGCAGAACGCTGTGTGTGGATTGCTTTCTCAGGCACATATCCCTGAAGTCTTCAAATGCACCTGCCGTGAAGACGGTTAGTAGCCACATTTCCAGGCTTTGTCACACATCAGTCAGCAACATGGCTTTACATATTCAGAGGCTTTTTGTATCATTTGTGTAAAGACCAGAAACGTGTGTGGCCCAGGGGATAACATCTCGCCAACATGGTCCCCATCACCATGAGGCTGCATTTCCTCCACAGCCAGGGGTTCTGTTGGACTGAGGTGGCCACAGTGGTGGGAGGAACTTGTGGTGGGGAATTGGATTCTCTCAGTACTCAGGGCCATTGGAAACAGCTCACTCCATCTTCCATACAGCCATGTTAAGCCATGACTCAGGCTGCCCATATGTGTCTGAGTAAGGGCAGCCAGCTGTGTAGCCATATTTTACAGGCCAGTGACCAAGGCTTGCAGTGGGTGCTGGCACTCAAACACACAGCCAATCAGTGCCTCACAGCTCCGTGAGGCATCAGATGGTGGTGAGAGACGGCTCTGGGCCAGGGAATGCAGCAGGGTGTCCTGAGTGGTTGTCTACGTAGCCAACCAGGGAGTTTCCCAGTGTCACTGAGGTGGGGGAGGTGTCCC